GTCATTGGAATTTGGCCACGAAACGCAGATAAAGCAGATGTCAACTGTGCATGTGTGACCCATGCTGGCCTAAACATAGTCACAGGAGACGACTTCGGGCTGGTGAAACTGTTTGATTTCCCATGCACAGAAAAGTTTGTAAGTGGATAGTTCACTCTAGTCTGAACAGCCTGACCTTGCTCTGTGGTTTTAAGGCCTCCAAATGCGGGGTCCAGCGGGGCAGCTCCAAGCAGGAACGGCTGCAGGAGCACTGGGAGCTGGGGGTCCCCAGGTGAGCAGCTTGCAGGTGATGGAGCAGCCATCCTCCAGCAGGCAGGGAGGGAGGAGCACACAGGAGGGAGCAGCGAGCTGGGGTTACTGTGGGCTCAGAACACTGGAGCTGCTGGGGTTTGGCTCCACGAGGCAGCTCCGTCACCCTGCTGCCAACCTGCACGTGTCCTTCCCCACAGGCCAAGCACAAGCGGTATTTCGGGCACTCCGCTCACGTCACCAACATCCGCTTTTCCCACGACGACAAGTACGTGATCAGTACGGGAGGAGACGACTGCAGGTGAGGGACGTGACCCAAGGTGCTGCGTGCTCCCTTCAGCACCAAGCCCCCGGCAGGGCACTGAACACCCCTCTTGGCCCATCCACAGCCTGCCCCTGGGTGGCAGCTTTAGCTTGGTTCTCCGACCCTGGGATCGATGCATTTCATGCTCATTGCACCCAAACCCTGCCTCCTTGGCACCACTCACAAGGTGACCGCTACTGCCTAAAGCATCCCGCATTTGGGTTCCTGTGTTGAGCAGCATCTGCTTGTAGCTCCTTGGTTTGCCTCCTCCCCATGGGCAGAGGCACAGCAGACCTGGCCAGCACCCAGCTCCGAGGCTTCAGGCACCAAGAGGTAGCAAAAGGAGCCCCGGCTGCTGGCACAGGACCCACACGTGTGCCTGAAGAACATTGAGACCACTTAAAGACAGCTGGTGGGGGTGTCAGTCACACAAAAATAACTGAATAGCTCCTGCCCAGCAAAGGGTAGGACAGGAATTCCGGCCAAACACAGGGATGGACAGATTTAGAAAGGCATTTCAAAGAGCAGGAGGTGCAAAAGGTGCCCGAGCTCTGAGGTGGGCTTTTCTTTCTCCTTCAAAGAAAGGGCCAGTAAATGCACACACAGAGATACAGACACAGACACACGTGTGACTGCAGCCGGGTTCCCCTCCACTCTCACTCCCCACGTTTCATTTGAGCTCCCAGTACTGCTCAGAGGACACAACTGCCGAGCAAAACAGGGAGCACAGAGGTGATGAATGAAAACCAAACGTGGTTAAACACAGCCCACGAGAGACGTGCGAACAGCACGAAGCAGAGCTAGCAAAAGAGCTGGGTTTTGAAGAAAAGTGCTTTTTCTCCCTCAAACCAAGCAGGTAGGAAACGAAAAGGCACAAATCCCGACAGGAGCAAGTACCAGAGAGCTGCGGTCAAGCAGCAGGTATTCATAACTGCTTCCTCAGCAGGAGAACAGCAGCCGGGGACTGCAGGATTGGCTTTGCTGCTTTCCAGAAGCAGAGCCCTAAATGCTGATGGACATTTGCCCACACCAGGCTCCCCAGCAGGAAGCCTGCAGCAGACACGGGTCTGACACTGCAGTCAATTTAACCCTCACTGCAGGAGCTCTCCCACATTAAAGCATCCACTGTCACTCCTGCAGTGACGCTGGTAATGAAGGACCCCCCTCACCCCCCATACAATTTTCCACTACTTTGGGGGTTAGGGAGGAGAAGGAAGTGTTTTCCTTTGAGAAAGGGGCTGCGCAGTGGGAGCAGGAAGCTCCGTCCCATCACAAAGCAGCTGCAGGGGAACAAAGGCTGCATTCACCTCAGCCCTCACCCTGCAGGACACAAGTTACATAAGCTCAGCAAAGCTCATCAGCTGCCCTGCTTTGGCCAGTGGTTATAGAGGGGATTTCTTGTTTCGGAGGGTAAGAACAGCATAAAACAAACAGTGAGGTTCTCAGGCAGGAGCTGGTTATAGACTCATAGACTCAATTGTTAGGGTTGGAAAGGACCTTAGGATCATCCAGTTCCAACCCCCCTGCCATGGGCAGGGACACCTCACACTAAACCATGGCATCTAAGGCTCTGTCCAACCTGGCCTTGAACACCACCAGGGATGGAGCATTCACAACTTCCCTGGGCAACCCATTCCAGTGCCTCAGCACCCTAATGGTGGTTGTGGTGCTGCAACTCTCCTGAGAAAGGGAAGCACATTCACATCATTCCGGGCTCCACGTTGCTGTACCTGGCAGCTGGCTGGTAAACCCCCAGTTGGAGCCACTATGGATCCATAATGCCTGTATTTAACACAGCCTCTCTTGGTGCTGCAAGCTAACCCCTCCCTCACTTCCTTCCCCTGCAGTGTCTTTGTGTGGCGCTGCCTTTGACCGGAGCCTCTCCTTGCTGCTGTTACTGCCACCACCCAGTGACTGGGCCAGCCTGGACAGCCACGATGCCTCGAGCCCTGCGGCTGCCGTGACCCCCACCCGAGGCTGCCCCGTGACACCTCCAGATTACTCACAGCATTTACTGAATGTCACCTCGCCCGATAACCCCGAGGAGGAAGGAGACGTCTGAAAGGGAATCCTTTTGTAACCCGGGTAGGCCAGAGTGATGAACGGTTCACTCACAAAGCTGCTTTTGCCTAATACTGTGTTATCTAAACCCTGTCTGGGAAGGGAGCACACGGAGAAAACGCTGGGCCCTTTAATTTGCATCATTCCAAAATCTATGGCTTGGTTTGTTCAAGAAAAGGGGTGGGTTTTTCACCTCCTGCTTCAAACTCACCTTTGGGGCACTGAGTAAAGCCGCAGGCTTTGAACGGGTGAGCTGGGGTCACACTTCAGCTGTCAGCGAGCGAAGGAGCAAAGTTATCATTTTTTAAGTCCATCTTCTTTTTAAATATATATATTTGGCAAATTTTTCTATCCATGAAGTGCCTTGGAATAGTTTTCTATTAGTATGGGCTACAGCCTTGCCTCCCACCCCTTGCTTTCAACATACGGTGCTATAACGTTCACACAGAGGAGGGCTAATCATCACCACCTTTCCCAGCTGTGTACTTACTTCCACTGTCCCCGGTCTCTGCTTTGGGTTTCAACACCTTCACAAGTGAATTCCAAACTGTTTGTGACACAGAGGCAGCTCTGTGCTGTTCCGAGGACAATTCCCCGATGGCATTACACCCCTCGGTAAGCTGTTCACAACGTGTGCGATGGTAGCGCGACTACAGCCGGAATGCGAAGCTTAAATGGTGAGTAGAGGGGGAGAGGCTTGGTTAAAGATGCCAACAGTGAGGAAGCTGCTCCCCGCATTCATCCACTCCCTGTCTGTGGGAAGCTGTGCTCTAGAGATAACTGCTTCCACAGGCAGGGGCCATCCACTGGTGTGGAAGCCTCTGAGTCATTGCTGCAATTCCTGCAGGGATCCCAAGGACCGCCTGGCACTGCTGCTCATGAGCAGAACAGAACCCCCTCCCCTACCAGAACATTCACCTGTCCTTGGGAAAAGCAGCCCCCTGTGCTCATTTGGACTCCTGTTCCCATCATCACCTCTCCTGTGGGACAGGGTGTGGGATCCAGGAGAGGAGAGCAGAGCAGAGCAGCCCACGAGCAGGGGTTCACACAAGGCAGGTAAAGCCCATCAGTGCTTCTGTCAAAACCAAAAACTCCAGGGACAGGGGAAGTGGAGAAAGAAAAAGTTCAACTTTTTCCCATGAAAGTGGCTGGAAAGGAATGGGAAGTGTGGGCAATGGCAAAGGATTTCTGAGATTGCGGGCCTAGAATAATGTGTTTTAAAATTACCTTTCTTGTAAAAAGCCTGTTTGTTGATCAAAGACATAAAGGCCAAAATAAAACCTTGAGACTTGCATTGGGTCTTTGAAAAGAAATGTTTGTTGGTGCTTTAGCCCCAGGTCAGGACCAAACCCTTTTGAACCGGGGGAAGTTCCTGCCAACCCATTTCTGAGCCCACTGCACAAAGAGGAGGCTGTTGGGTGCAATATCCGGTGCAAGGAGTGGATCAGTGCCCAGGTACCACACAAAAGTGCTTCAGCAACCTCAAAGAATCACCTTTTTTACAACTGAATTTATTAATTAATGCCTTGTATCACTACACAGAAGATCAGTTTGTCAGATACACAACACGGCCCTACGCAGTCCTTGTTCTAGCCACACCTCCTTGCTGAGATGATGTAATCCTGGCAGGTGGTGATGTCAGCGAGCACCTTCTCTGCCTTCCTTCTGCATGGATTGTATCCCAGATAGAACCAGAGCGAATTAATCAATGGTGATGTGAAAAGCAGCTTAAAGCAGTAGCGTCTGCCAGGAAACACATTTGTGTGTTTCTAGGGTCTGGCTTTACATACAAAAGGTTCAGAAGTCACCACGTCCAATACTGTAAACTCAAGTCCTAGCACATGGATTGATTTTCTAATGGTCAGGATGCCATTACTTACAAATCCGTGTCCCAAAGAAATCTGGGTACAAGTTTCCAGGGTCCAGCTCTTAAATCGGATCCAACAAATTGATCTGGAAAGATCCCTAGGACTTTTGCTTGCCAATGTCCTCCCCCACGCAGACTACAGCATCACGCATCAACTGTCTCTAAAGCAAACCAGGCACGTTCACTTGGCTGAGTCTGAAATGCCCCTTTCACTGTTTTCAACACCCAACTCACACCGCTTAAGTGGCGGCAACAACCAGAGCCACAGCCAAAGAGCCTGGGTGACAAGAACCACACACCCACTGGAGCCACGGGGAATGAGAGCTCTGGAACTGACCAAACTGCTTCACCCTGCACGGATGGGAAGAACAGGTACTGAGAGAAGCCATCGACTCACACCGCCTACGTCTGACAGACTGTGGCCACCACCATGTACAACGGATACTGAATCACCATGAGCTTCAACAAAATAAACACAAAGAGTTTCAATTTGCCTCAAGAAAGCAAAATGCCACCAGGTTCTGTCTAGAAGCTTTATTGATACTTGGGGTTTGGGTTGGTTGGGGTTTTTTTTTGCCTTTTTGTTGGGTGGTTTTTTTTTTTACATTTCACAATGCATTCCACAGACTTGGTTCAATACAGCTTAACCTGCAAGTGGAGGAATTCTCCCTTATTTCTTGCATAACAAGGTTTTAGGGTTCCCAACAACATTTGCAGCATTAGATACTCGGTCCACAGATTATGAGAGTTTGAGAGATCAGAATCAACTACTGTACGTTTGTGTCACAAAGTGTATGCTTGTCTCTTGCTTTAGGTGTATGTGGAGGTTCCTTCCTTCATCCCCCTCTCGCTGCTTGTTTTAACCAGATGCTAGTGTTTACACAGACAGTTTGGGGTCCAAGCTTGTGTGCTGCAGAGCTAGTCCAGCCACCAGTCAATTCTCTGAAGTACAAAGCACTGTGGAGCAGCTGAAAGATCTAAGCTTTGTGAAACACATATATATATATATATATATATTGGCAATTGATAAAACAGTAAAATCACAATACAGCTATACTCATACCAAAAAGGCAAGATTTGCTTTCAAAACTTGCTCAAATGGTATAATTCTTCTAAAACATCTCAGTTTAGAAAATGGGCATCAACCTACACAGACCATACACCGTGCACACACTGCAGTGCCTCCGCTCCACCCGCCCCAGCCGGGAACGCCGCAGGGACTACCGCTGACGAAGCAAAATGTACAGCTTTCAACTCTTGGGTTAGCCAGTGCTGCTGCACACAGGATAGAGGAAGATGATTAGGTTAGATCCATACATAGCAGCTTAACGATACTTAGGATGATGAAAACACATGGCAGTCAAAACAGTTATTTTTGTTTTCCTCAAACACTGCGTTGCTAAAAAATAAAGATCTGTGAAATTGCACTGCAATGTCAAGGGGTTCGCTATTCCCTGACCCTCCCCGTGTCAATCCAAATGAGTAGTTTTTTTTCCCCCTTAAAAGATGAACTTCCTATCGGCACGCTGCTTCAGGCTTTTTACTCAGTTTTGCGCTTCAACCCAGGGATCTTTGCTTGGATCCTGCAAGAGGGAACAGAACAGCATTTGAGTAATGAACAAGAAGCAGGAGGTGTAAAACACAGAGCCGTAAAGCAGCAGCATGGCAAGAGAATGATCACAGCAACACACAACCCAATGCAACCGCTCAATTCTCCATTCCCTCCTCAGCTGCAACTGCTGAGGGCCCGGGTTTCACTGATGGGTTGAAAGACACAGATTGCTGGTAGAAGTCACACAGGATTAACTCAGCGAGAGCAGAGCTGATTTTGTAACCATTCCAAATTTAAACAGAGGACTTTTTCCTCCTAGGACCAGTGCACATAATGCATTTGTTACATACAGGAATGCCACAGGTACCGAGAACAATAAATGCTATTTATAAAGTGCAAGTTTACTCACTTAGCCATGGCATCTTTGACATTCTTGTTGACGAGTCCCAAATAATGGTCAATTTGGGCCTGAAACGGAAGATGACTGATGTTACCAGCAGCTCTTACACTCACTGTGCTGCAGAATCCCAGCACACAACACATGCTTCACACAGGAGACGGACTGTAACGTAAGGAAGGCAGGAAGGGGCTCACCCATGTGTCCCAGGTTAGCGCCCATGGCTTCAGCCACAGCACACAGCAGTGTCTGCCCCGGAGCAGCAGGGAGCAGCGGGCAGGAGCCCACATAAACCCACCTCTGGCTTCTGGAGCAGCCACTTGTGGTTCCCCGCCTCAGCTCAAGGCCAACACGAGGGTGCACAACCAGCCCGGGCCCTCGGTGCCTCTGGGCAGCACAGGGAAGGGAAGCGGCTTAGGGGGGCCGGGGCCTGGTAACCAGCTTATGCCCTCGGCGAGCAGCTTCAGCCCCTCAAGAGGATTGCAGAGCCCGGGTTAAGCCACACAACTCGTCCCTCCTCCTCCTGTCCCTGCAGAGCACCCTGCTCCCTCCTCGGAGCTCGGAGAGGAGCCCATGAGGCTCCACCATCTGCTCCGAGCCTTTCTGCTCCCTCCCCACGTCCCAGGTCCCACCCCCCTGCCCCGAGCAGCGTTGTTTGTGAAAGAGGAGAAGGAACTGCTAAGCCGGGGCTGGCTGCCCCCTCCTGCGCTGTGACCTGCGGCAGGCACCCCTGCTCCAGCCCGCCTGGAGCTGAACTCAACCGAACACCTTCGGCTCCTTCTCGTCTCTTCCCTTCACATTTGTCTCCCCGCAGGAGAAGCTCTGGACTGAGCCAAGCGTCTCCCACCTCCCGTTTCTGCCAGGGGTACAGATTCCACAGGGCCTCGTGAACCCTGACCGTCAGCTCCACAGGGTCCTGCAGAAACGTGCTTCCATCAGGATTAGCGCACTGTGCTGCCGCTTTGGTCCTGCCCCAAGCTGGATGAGGGCAGAGGAGGCCTCCAGGTTAATCGGGCCTTTGTCCTAACTGTTTCCTGGGGAAGCTTTCCCATGCTACCACTGAAGAGAGCAGGAGGGGAACCGCACACAGCCTGGGCTCCAAAGGGAACGTGGCACTGCCTCCTGGCTCAAGGCCTTTGAAAGGCTTTCAGAGTTTAGCAGATTGAGGTGAGCTCTGGGTGCGTTCGCTTGTGGCGCTGCTTCCATGGAGCCAGTTTTGTGATTCACATCAAACACTCACCTGATGTCTCTCATAAATAACAGGAACACTGAAGAGCGAGATCAAAGCTGGAAGAGAGCACAGCAGAGGTGTTAAGTGTTGACAGAAGGGAGGGTGCTCAGGTAACACAAACCCTGCCTTCCACACCTTGACTCTGCCTCCCAAAAGGTACAAGAAATAACCAAGCCACATGCAGCAACTGCTGGCTGCTAATTTCAGTAACCCCATGAAGCAGAGGCTGGGCTGGTCTCCAGGTCTCAACTGCAGCACCCTAAGGCTGGTCACTGTGGGTTACACACGTTCTTCAAAGGGGATGCCTCAGCTTCGGCCAGGGCCAGGTGGGTTCCAACACCTGAAGCTCTGCTCTGGGATACAAGGAACAAAACTGCTTGGGGTAGGACATGGCCAGAGGCAGCCGGTACCTCCTCCAGAGCCCCAGGCTAACCCCAACAGGGGTGAGCACAACAGAAGGTGCTTTCAAATGATACAAGTCTGAATTGCTCAGCTTGCTGGTTTTTGAACAGCACGGTTCAAAATGACCTGTTCCAGTGTTATCAACGTCCCAGAGAAAGGACACGGAGCTACCGCATCCCGCTACGTGCTCCAGAACACAGGAACAGCCCCCTGGTATCCAGCAGACCTCAGTGCTTCCCCTGGTTATTCCGTATTGAGCATGGTTTCAAACACTTACCCAGAATCAGCAATGTCAGACCATTAAACAAGGCACCAACATAAGTGAACACCCACATCAACACTGCAAACTGGAAAGGAAAGAGAAACAGCATGTGTCAGCCCAAGGCCTTGCCACTACAAGTGCTGAGAGCTTTAACCACACACAGAGAACTGAACCACCCCAAACCCCTTCACCCTTGCATGTCTCATGTAAAGAGAGAGGAGCAACTAGATGGCTGAAGGGCTCACTAACGGGATATGAGGTCCGGGTCATGGGCTGAATTCAGCCCCAGTCTGCAGTGACCACAAGCTGTGAGCTCTTGGTGGCTGCTCCATGCCCTCTGCATCATCCAGTGCTTTCAAACCCACGTTAAACAGCAATGGGCAAACACAGCTCCTACCTCCCACCCTCCAGAGAGATGGCACAAGACAAGGAAGTGACAGGTCTGAGGGCTGCTGTGTGACAGAGCCAGGAAGCCGCTCAGCTGCTGGGGTGGCAGCACAGCAGGATCCGAGCGCACCCAGGCTTGGTACCAACGATCAGTCACACTTTGGCTCAGCAGAGCTCTCAGTGAGCACTGACCAGGGCAGGCAGGGTTCTGTCACCCTGGGACTAAAACCTCTCTGGAGGTACACGGCAAGGCTGCGTTGATTGGCTTTTCCCTTTAAAAACCAGGAGCTTTGGATGCCACAACTTCAGAGAGGAGTCAACAGCGCCAGGCAATGGAAGCTGGCTCCAAGCTGGAAGCAAGCTCAGAAGCAAGCTCTGTTCACAGCCACCCAAACCCCCTCGCTGCTGCAACTGCTCCTTCACCCCCAGCCCAGCTCACACCCAGTCCCTGTTCTTACCCCAGCACCCACTGACTGCACTCACACAGCTCCTCTGCTCACCCTGCACAAAGAAGGGGGCTTTGGGGCCCCGCGCTCAGCCGGGTGGAGCGTGTCCCCAGCACACCTCTGACCTATACGGGGGGAGGCAGCTGGTGCTATTTCTGTGCAGGGTTCCTCCCCAAGGAAAAGCAGCCTGGTTCTTCTAGTGTTGCAGGGCCCACGAGGAGCTGAGCAGCAGCCAGGGGCTGGCTGCCACAAACAGAGCATGGACCAGGGCCTGGCTCCGGCTAAGCACGGCATCGCGTTTTGCTTGTGCAGAGACCCCGGCCCTTTCATCTCCTGAGCACATGGGCTTGGTTCGTGTGCAAGACACTGAACAGGCAGTGGAAGGTGTCCCTGCCCGTGGTAGGGGTTGGAACTGGGTGAGCTTTAAGGTCCCTTCCAACCCAACCCATTCTATGATTCTAATGACTGAAGGTGAAGCACTCTGGTGAGCAGGAGATGAGAGTGAGGAGAAGATGGGTATGAAGGACTGGGAAGAAAAAGCTGCATGCTGAAGGCTTGTGGGAGTGGGTAAGGATCTGCCCTGCAGCTGAGTCACCCTGAAGTTACGTATCCAAACATCCAGTTTTAGCTTATCGTAAGATGTAAAGTATCCAAACCAAACAAAACCAAGTGCCAACAGCAAGATAAGGGCATGACAATCAACACAAGCTTAACTGTGGGACCCCTGTAGCAAACTGAAGTTACTGCAAGAGCTTTGTTCAAAGTAGCTGATCCCATTCAAACCTCAGGAGCATTAACTGCGAGCCATGCACTTCTTATCTCTGGGTTCCTCCTCGGTGTGACACAGGCACCCCCGGTACAGTCACCCCTCAGGCAAGGCTGGTGTTGCCATGGACTGAAGGACTCTGGCAGGGTGACCAAGCCAAACACAGCTCATTGCTCCAGCCTCCCTCATGATTCATTCAAACCTTGGCCCAGTTCTGCTCTGCAGTGCCAGGGCGAGCACTGCCTGCCAGCCTCTGCACAAGGGACTTCAACAGAGCAAATGCTCTCCTTGCACAGCAAGCCTGGACACGCAGCACATCCTCCTGCCCAGCCAAGGGAGGGAAGTTAACTTCTAATGCAGCAAAAGTACCCCCAGCTCCGTGGTCATTCAGGCTGATTTTTCCTGCAGGCTTTGCATGCAGTGAAGTGTAGGTGCCAGCTTCAAGCACACACATCCTGCCAGCCAGCCACCTAACAGTGTGGAGAAGAGGAGGCTCAGGGGGGACCTGATGGCTCCCTACAACTGCCTGACAGGAGGATGGAGCCAGGAGGGGCTGGGCTCTGCTCCCAAGGAACAAGGGATGGGACAAGAGGAACCGGCCTCAAGCTGCACCAGGGCAGGTTTAGATGGAGCTGAGGAACAATTCCTGCCCCAGAGGGTGCTCAGGCATTGGAACAGGCTGCCCAGGGCAGGGCTGCAGTCACCGTCCCTGCAAGGGTTCACACCCCGTGGAGACGAGGCCTCAGTGCCATGGGTTAGTGGTGGCCTTGGCAGTGCTGGGGAACGGTTGGACTGGATGAGCTTGAAGGGCTTTTCCAGCCTGGTTGAATCTGTGATTCGATCACCTCCTCTCGTGGGCACCACCTGGCCAGGTGAGCACTGAGTAACGCTGCTGAAGACTATGACCGAGGCAGAAAATGCAAGCTCATGCAAGCAGAAGGTAACAGCTTGACTCAATCCCAAAGTCCAACCTTTATCAGCGCTACCCAATCCTATTCAGTGAGCACTGATTTTATGGCCCAAAGAAGATCAAAATCCAGGAGTTAATGTTTGGCTGGCACAGGCTTTGCTCCTCCCAGAGTCTGTCCTGACCAGCATCGGGCTCTACCAACTGCACGTGCAGTTTGTAATCCCCTTCACTTATTCATACTGGGTGGGAGTAGGAACCCTAAACCCAACGAGACCAACTTCCTCTAGCACATCAGTATGAGACACCAGGGCTACCAAAGCAAATGAAGTGCAGCTGAAACCTCAGACCCTCCTCCCACAGCTCCTCCTCTTCCCTTCGCACACTTTGTCAGTTAAAACACTGCTCTGGGATTAAGTGGAGCTGACCTCAATCCCACATATACACACTGGCCTCTGGTTTTTGTTCTCCTTAGAAAGGAGACGACTCAGCCTCTCAAGTGCAGAAGGGGTTACCTGGGACCCATCTAAGCACTTAAAGCTCCAGATGAAAAAGAAAGCAGAAGGCAACCCAGGACTGACCTACAGAGATAATGCTGCTCTTCCCACACGCTCAGGACCAAGGGAAAGCCCAGACCCAAGCTCAGCCTGAGCACTGGGATGACCCACACACCAGTAAAACCCCAGTGTATCTGATGGGCCTGCAGCGAGGCTTTGCCTCTCTCTTCCCAATGACTCATGACTCCCCAGTACCCAGAGCACACCACAGTTTAATGGCAAATCCAGCAATGTCCATATAGCAATTTCTTTACTATAAAAGAGTTGCAGCAAGGAGCTCTGCTTCTCAAAGCATCGACCGAGCAGAGGCAAAGCCACCATGGCCAGTGCCAGACCGGCTGTGGCAGCACATCGCCGTTGAGCAGGACAAAGTGCAGCTTCCCCTGGGCTCCCTGGCAAGGGCTCCTCTGGAATTGCTCCTCCCGAGCTGTGAGGAGCTTCTTTGAGCTGCATAAATATTTATAGTCCATTTTAAGACCTCCATGTCTGAAGCATTGTTTAATAAAGCAAGAAAATCCTTCACAAGACGGATTTTACAGCCAGGACTATTACACACAATAACCTGACCTCCAGACATCTCCTACATTAAAGCTCTCTAATTATACACAAACATGCTGCTTTCTACAGTGAGGATGTTTAAACTACACGAGCCAAGACATCTCTATTTTGTGTTAAACCAGGGCTGCTGTACTCCCTTAGACCCCAGCATCTCCATCACCTCCTCAGGCACAAGCTCTTCAGATCAGTAACCTGAGCTCATGAACTCTCCTGACATTCACTGGTTTCAGATAAGGTACCATAAATTACACTCATTAACGTACATAAAACGTTCTGAATGTCAGAAGAGAAGGGAAATGAATCAGTTGAGCTGAATAAACACATCTTTCCTATAGCCCATAGCGTTTTAGAAGTGACTGGAGTGCCTCGAAGGCATTCTGGCTGGAATTAATTCTGCTTCCTACCTAATCCCTCTGCAAGGCCTGGTTTTCTAAACAGTGTCAACTGAAGCAGCACTTGGCTGCCCACTGCTTCCTTTTCCTTCCCTGCAAGGGATCGGGATCTCTAAACAACCCTTATAACTCAGATGAAGGATCGTATCACAGAGGGCTTAATTATTAAAGAAACACAAGTAACCTTGTGGCTGCAAGTTTCTGTGCTGGCGTTTAGGCAGCTCAAACATGACTCAGCAAAGTTAATTTTTCTTTGAACACTGAAACTCAATGCCCTTAAAAAACCCACAATAGACAAAGGGGATGTCCCTTCCCTCCCTCCCACTCCAAGTTTTAGTTATCAAATGCAATTCTGGCTGTGGAACAGTAATTCTTTTGGCCAAGGCTGTGGCCTTGAGATGCTGCAGAGATGAATCCCAAGTACTCAGTTCTGTGAGACACAGACTTCATACAGCCCAGACTAATGGGCAGTGGCAAGAGGGTTTATTTAGCCATCAAAACACATCAAACCCCAGCCTAGCATCTCCCATCTCCTCTTCCCTTTGGAGAAAATGCATCTTTATCACCAGCAGTAGACCCCAGGTAACAACCCCACTGCCCCATAGAACCATAGAATCACAGAATGGTTTGGGTTGGAAAGGACCTTAAGATCATCCACTTCCAACCCCCCTGCCATGGGCAGGGACACCTCACACTAAACCATCTCACCCAAGGCTCTGTCCAAAATCATCCCTTCGTCCATCATCTCCCCTGTCTCCAGAGGGACAGGACTCACTGCACTCACATCAGGTGCAGCTTTTCCATCACAAACTCCGCTTAAGTTGGATCATAATGAGAAACTGGATCAGAAACTCTGGGTAAGATCCTGAGATCCAACACAGACTTTACAAGCTTCCCTTTTCCTCTCCCTTCCCCCAACCCTACAGCAACTCAAAGGACTTTACAAAGCACTGAGTAAGGGATTTACTTTCTTCCAAGAAGATTAAGCAAACTGAGAAAGAAACGGCCAACACATTGTACTTGGTAAAGGAAACAACTGTTTGAAAAACAAAGGAACACTATTAGCTTGAAAGGAGGGAATGTAATCCTCACAGAGCAGAACTGAAGGGTTTGCAGCCAATTCTAACACTATTATGCACTGTCAATTTTGCTCTGCCACCTTTAATAAATAAAGTGTTACCTGGAGCTATTCAAGGTATCTGCTGGGCAGCACTGCACACTTCAGGTAGAGTAACTTGCAAACCCCGTTTCAGTGATGTGCAGGACTAAAAGCAGCAGATTTCTGCTGTTCAGCACCAAAGAGGAGGTGTAAGGCTGAGCTACATGCAGCCAGGGATTATGTCAGTTTCCCATTGGTTGTTATTATACTGGCAAAATGAAGTGGAGCTAAAGTTATCCACTGTTACTGCAGGCAGCACTTGATGTTCAGCTCAGTGTGGCTAACAGAAAGCTCTACTTGCCAAACAAAAAGGCTCATTACTTCCAACACCCCAACAAAAACTCCTTATTTACTTACACAGCGCCAAAGCTGCTATTGTTCCTCCACGTTCCTGAGGACTAGTGGGCTTTGCAACCCAGGTCAGCAAGGGACCTATTTACACAAGGCTGCTGCTTCTACGCTGGAGCAAACTTACCTTCAGAGAATCAACTAAGTCATCGACTAGGAAGAGACGTCTCAGCTCTTTGACTGTGCCATTAATGTGACCAAGCACAACGTTACTGTACTTCTGAATAAGCTCTTCAGAGACAGCTATATCAGACTCCAAGTAAGCCCTGCAAGAAAGAAGAGCTTATGAAACTTCGCTGTAGGAGTACTGCCAAGCAGTGTCAACATATGTTTTATATATATAACATCAACATGTGTTCCCTTGAATTCTATAAAGGGAAAAACCTCACTGTATAAGGAATGCTAAAAACAGTTCTTACAGTTAGTGATAGCAGTTCTTTTAAGATAAAGATAAAAGCTCCTATCTGGGGAAGTGTTCTTTCCACCATTTTGAGGCTTCTATCTGTAGTTGCAGTGGCCACAGCAATTTAGATTCTTTAATTAGAGATTAATTTAACTAATTTGCCTGTTGGAGGAAGAAGGAGCAATGCAGCACATCTGTAATAGGGCACTCATTTTACAGTTACTGCAGTTGCTGAGCTTTTGTTTAGGGGGGATTCTGATTTGGGGTGGAAAGCTGAAAAATGCACATTGGAGGCTCCCATGGCTGTCATTAAGGCAAAGCCAAGCACAGCCTTGCAGCGAGCCCAAAGCAAATGCAAACACTTCAAACAGTAACTACAGCAGGCAGCCGTTTCAAGGCTGCATTCTGCTATCCATGCTTGGCTCCAATCTGCACACCCTTCTCTCAGCTCATCTGCAAGATACTCAGTACCTGAACCACAAATTAAGCCCCTTTCATACACTCTCTTCACTGTCGAAATTCAAGTAAGAGCAGCCTCGTAGGTGAAGGTATACAGGTAAGAAGCAATCAGGTATGTGGGTCTGGATGCTTCATATGAATATCAATCAGTGGGTCTAGAAATAAACTGCAGTAGGAGCACAGGTCAAACAAGTCTTGCTTGTTCTTGCTAAGATAGAACTGGGAAACCTGGAAATGCTGTTTGGGTTCCCAAGAACACCATTGGGTAGAGAGAGCCAGCAGGATTTCAGGTGGGAATTACTCACCCTCATGTGGGTGAATAAGGAGAGCCATGCAAGCCCTTGGGGGGTTAAAGCAAGCAACCAACCAAAGCCCCAAGTTTACAAAAGATACAGTTTCATACTGCTATACTGAATGTTCAGATGTTATTTCTGTATCAGATTTAAGCTCCAAACCAAATACTCCTTTCCCCCCCCCCCCAAGATTTTTGCCCCATGCTGGTTTAGGCACAGATTGGCTTCCACTGGGTAAATGAACCACAACACCCAGAGAGAAAGGAGGTAAATCCAAGGAAACACTTCACTCTGCCTTACTGAAGATGAGAGGAAGAGAATGAGAACAACTGGAAACAGCACAAAATCAGGGAGAGCTGTAAAGAGGAGGGCAAGCAGGAGTTTTGGAAAGGTGCAAGGGCCGGTGAGGTGGACCCAGTTCATTGATTAATGAAGGGAGAGAAGTGAGTCTGAGCAGTGTGGGGCAGGGCTGGTGTGGAAACAGGCACTCTTAGCAGTTAAACACATTAGTTAAGTTTTTGTTTCTCTTCAGATGCAGCCTGGGCACCGCTGTACTCCCCACAGGGAAGCAGGAATACCACGGGTACCACATTCCCACACTGCAGAGATGGGTACACGTGGGAAGCCACAAGGGCTTAGCTCATCACTTAAAGCAAAGAGCTGAGGTCCTCTTCAAGGACCAAAATTAATCCTATGACTCAATTCCTGAAGCCACAGAATACAGAGTCCAAGTTTCTGGATTTCTGATATGGGCAGGCCTCAATGAACCTGGATTCTGCTGGGGAGAAGGCAGCCTTGGGTATGGAGAACATGGCCATGCTGCTACACCCAAACCACAAACTTGAACAGCACTCTTTAAAGGAAAGTCCCCAAAAGATAAAAGGATCCCCTGGTGCATTTCCTCTGAGTTTTGCTAAATATATTGCATAGAAAAAGCGCTGCATCTCCTGGGAATCCTTTACATTTTGTAGCTCATCTGCCACTGGTTCACATTCTGAAGACTCCACCATTCTAAAAAGCATCTATTAGTCCATTAGACTGAAGTATTGGTGGGGGGGTTATGTAACTTAAGATACTCCAGCATTCCCAAGGAAATCCCAGGTACCAAGCACACAGTTCAATTTCTTTACTACTGTGTCTTCCTGCTGAGAAAAACTGAAAGAGGAAGAGTCACAGGCTGGGCATGTTCCAGTACAGATAATGTACATTATTAGGCAACATATTATAGCCTCTGTCATCCCCTGCTCCCAACAGCACCAATACTGCTCCCCAGAACAGCACACTTGTTGTTAATGAAAGGAAGGCTCTCACCTGAACGGGTGGCCTTCACTGGACTTCTGGATTGCCTGGATAACTCCCTTGTATATCCTAAAGCTGATCGTCACCGAAAGCAGGGCCAAGGCAATGTAAGCTGTCACGCTCACGATGCTGAACACTGTTAATGAGAGCAGCAGGAACAAGCTGGCACCAAACACCACTCCTGTCTTCTTAATGTCTCGCCAGTAAAGGAGGTCAACAACTAAAATTTGAAGAAGGAAAGAAATTAGAACAAGAAACCTTTTGCATCCATATGGAAACAGTAAAACACGATTCACTTGACTGCTGAGAGTCATCAAGAATAGAAAGTGCCATCTCACTGTGACACCAGAGCTGAAATGACAACTAGGAATAGGTTATTTTAGCACTGGTTCTGCACTGGACTTCAGATTATTGGGATTATTGTTATTAGGATCACCTCAAACGTAATTGTTGCAGTTTAAGAACAACTCTGCCCTTAAGCAATGCCAGAATTAATCCCTTTGACTACTGTTCCGCGCTCTGCACCAGAACCATGGCAGTTTGTGCTTCATTTCATTCTATTTTTGTGCCTTTTGGGGAGGTCACTCACTGAGATTGAGTGCAATTCCCCGTTAGGACAAATGACAGGATGCTAACAGATCTCTAAACCATTATATCTTTTAAGTCTGGTAGAGGCAAAGACACTGCTCAAAACCTATTAACAGTTCATTTTGTTTCCTTTTGACCAAAGCCGTTCCCATGGGAGTGTTGATTATGGGTGACAGACTGAGCCATCAAGAGAGAATAATCTCACTGCAATTTCCATCCAGGCTAAATCTGCTGCACTCCAATGCCAAATGCTTCATCTGTAAGCCAAGCTTAACGTCTTCCTCAAGCAACCCCCACGAGAGCACACAATATTGAGCCATTCTTAACATCACTGTTTAAACTACACCCTTGCCTAGGTCATAGGCAATGGTTTAATGCACCCACTGCACATTTGTTTGCCTTGAGGTGCTGCTGCATCTGGTCAATTACCCCACTGAACTCATGAGCTCTGGCAAACGTCCTCCCCACTGCCAATACAGAAGTAGGCAGGGGCATCTCTTCTGGTTTTACACTTCATAGGGACATACAGAGAAAAACTCCTGCTTCATCATTTCTACTTCCACAGCTGACCAGATTCTCACAAGCACAAATTCCTCTTCTGCATCAAAACTGCTTCTGAACAGCAATAATGTGGTAGCTACAGAACTCAAGATAAATTATAGCAAATTACTGCTGCACCACAAGGTTAGTAATCCCATCTCGCCCTAAACACCACCAAAGTCAACTGTAAAGTAGCACATCACAGTTCAGAACACATTCTCACTCTGAATGACTGCATCAGAAAATGAAATGGATCTATTATTGCTTACAGGATGAAAACGTGGTAATGCACCAGCATTAAATACTCAGTAGCCTCTGTAGGGCAAAGTCTGCACAATCCCTTTTGTAGGTACAATGTGAAAACGCCACTGGGGCTGTGGTGCAATTTCACAGTGTTTCAGAAGCTGGAGTCCTTTCCTAATGATTTCCTTAGGGAAAATGTACTGAGCAGCAGGCGCTGGGAAGACAAGAGCCTGGTCAGAAACTTAAAGCTGCTATTTTCATATTGTCCTGGTTTTGGCTGGGATGGAGTCAGTTTTCCTCCTCGTAGCTGGCACAGTGCTGCCTGGATTTAGGATGAGGATAACGCTGATACCCACTGATGTTCTAGCTGTTGCTTACCCTGATTAAGGACGTTTCAGTCTCATGCTCTGCCAGTGCGGAAGGGCACAAGAAGCTGGGAGGAAGCAGAGACAGGACACCTGACCTGGACTGGCCAAAGGGGTATTCCATACCACAGCATGTCATGCCCAGTACAGAAACTGGGGGACTTGGCTGGGAGCTGTGGATCAGCACTTGGGTTGGGCTGGGCATCAATCATTGGATGGTGAACAACTGTGTTGTACATCACTTGACTGTCTTGGGTTTTAGTCCTCTCTCTTTTTATCTCCTTTTCATTAAAATTGTTATTAGATTTCACTTTAATTCAATTATTAAACAGTTCTTCTCATAACCCATGGCCCTTAGGGTATTTCACCCCTCCCCAATTCTCCTTTCTTTCTCCCAAAGCAGAACTGCAGTGGGAGGAGCAAGCCCCAGCCCTCCACCACCACCCTCAGCCCCACTGCTTGCCTGGTTTTCTGCCTCCTGCTGACAACTGCTGCCCCCAGAAAGCAGAATACAAACAAAGCAGCAGCCAGATCAGATGCTGGCTGTGGTTCCCCCATGTGACTCCACCAACATATGGGGTGAGAGATAGAGCAGCCAGCTGAAGGAGGTGACACCCCTGCTCCACCAGCACCCATCTAAAGTCCTTGTCACACAGGCCCAACCCACCCGTGCACCCTGCTGACCTGTTATCCTGCTGGGTGTCATCATGTTACAGAGCTGCTGTTCTCACTGTCAAACCAATGAAGCTCTAAGCAAGAAAACTTGTCTTTAATTTGTAATAATCAAATAAAAAACAAAACTCAAGCAATTGCAACATTCCTTTTGGATGGGCTATAATCCCTAAATGTAACATTTGATTTGGTTTCTTTGGCTTTGCTTCTAACCACCTAAGTGCCTGGTAGTGTTATTGTGCACCTTAATGAAGCAAGTTTAGCAGATAAAAGAAGCTTATGAACCAAACTGTGAGCTTGACCTAAAAATTGCTGTAAACTCTAAACCTAAATTGAGCAGCAAGTACCCCTAACACTGAAGGGGGGGTGTCAGAACCAGTACTGCAAAAAAAAAAAAAAAAGTATAAATGAGTGGATTTCATGCTCCTAAATCATGCAAAAAAGCTTTGAAAACCTCATTTCTTCCCCAAGTATTTGCTGCAAATCCTGAAGCTATATTTAGTTTCAAATGTGCAATTTGAGCATCCATACGGTGATATTTGGGTGCTGCTCCTGTATCGTGTGACATGCCAGGCATGAGCCCCTCTCCTCTCCGTTTGCAGGCAGCTTTAGTTGGATAACGGAGATAACTCCCTCCTCTCTAACACAGTTTCGCAGCCCCTCCACTGCTCTGAGGTTCTGATTGCTTCACACAAGAACTCACTTGCTACAAGCAGGAAGCATTGTACCTGCACCCAGGTGTAAGGAAGGTAAAGAGTCATTCACCTGTATCCTGGTTCCCAAGATAGGAGAAATCAAGGTAAATGGCTGCAATTAAAGCACCCACAAATGGCCTCCAGTGCCCCATCCTCAGCCTGCTGGTCTCAAGTCAACAGCAAGAAAACCCCCGAGCTGGGAGCCCCCAGACCACAGTTAAACTGCACACACAGCACTTCTCAGTGTCTCCTCTCGGCACCATACCAGCCCCAGCGTAACGACACCCAGATCTGGTTTCATTGTGAATTCCTCCACGGGAAAGTCAGCTACAAGACACTGAAAAAGCGAGGTGCAGTTTTAAAGAGAGCAATGAAAATGATTTATAAATGATGGAAGTGATTTATAAACCCCGATCGATCGGAAGCACGTATCTGCATTTCTTTCTAAAGGAAAATGGAGAGTTAAACGCATTACCAGGAGCAGCTTTCTGGCTTTAAATGCAAGATATTCACAGCAGATTAAACACAGCACAGCACAAAAACACCCCCCCCACACCCCAACTCTGAGGAACTGGTGCCAAGCAGCCTCCTTCCTCCTGGAAACCGCTTTAACCTTCATTTTATACCCCCGAACTACAATCTCCCACATTTCAAGCAAGTACCCCTGGCCTATTCTAAAGCAGGAACAGCTGCCTACATTTGGTAAGCACGAACTGTCACTTGGCACGTCTAAAAATAGCTCTGCTAGCATCCGTGCCTTACATGCACAACTCATCCCGTTACATTTTGCCTTTAAAGCGAGTGCCGCCACAGCTTTACCGCTGCATTAGTTGCATTTTAAAGCCTTTTCTCTCTATTCCACAGTTAACGCCGCACAGCCCCCGTTGTGACAAAATGACAACAAGTGGCTCCATCCATTTAACCTGAGAACGCTCTTTCTAAAGAGCGGAACCAAGCGCCCCTCGCTCGTATTGAGGCGGGGATTGAAAGGCTCGAGACCCAAAGCGAGTTCCGCCGGCAGCGGCTAGCGAAAAGCAAGGAAAAGGGACTGACCCATTCTGGCCTCCATCTTGAGCAGCCTGCATGCAGCAGCCCGTGCCCAGCGTCTCCCCGCGCCGTTCCACTTCCTGCAGGGCACGCAGAGGTCGGTGCCTCTACGCAACCGCAGCCAAGCCCGGACCCCGCCAATGGCGCCGCGGCCGCACACGCAGCCGTCAGCGCGGCTTCACCCGCACGCAGGGCACGGCCATGGGGAGCTCAGCCCCATAGGGAGGCTGCTTGCGAGGGTGACTGCAGTACGGGGAGGTTTGCGCCTGGGGAACGATCGCTGCTCGGCGAGAACCTCTCTGTGGGGTGGAAGGTAGGGAGGAATCGATGTTCTGTGAATAAAGAGAGCGCGGAAGCACAAGAAAGGGGCTGCTCTGGGTGGGTTTAACAACGGCCGCACTGTGCTAACACAGGAGTGGTGAGAAAGGGCAGCTTTCACACTGTAAAGCGCGCAGTCACAACTGTCACCGCAGTACAGTGGAGGCTTATTGATAAACCAGCACCCAAGCACAAATCCCTGCTGATCTCCGTTTGGCACTTCACATTAAATAAACTTCCTGTTTACACCTGCGGCGATGCCCACATGCACAGTATCTAGCAGTTTACACCAAAAACCCTCCCTGTTTACACCTGACAGTGATGTCCAGTGCTTCCACTGATCTTTTACACAGATTATCTACCAGGCAAGAGCTGAAGCTTGCAGATTCACTTTCAAAGCCTGGCCCAGCCCGATTCAGACCAACCAGACCAAGCCAACCCCACAGAGAAGCCACCAACCCATCAAGTGGTCAGTCTGTGAAGCACAAACACTATTAGAATGCTGGGGCCTGACATTTCCCAGATTTCCCACATTTTCAAGCTTCCTTACATCAGAACAACCATTTAAAAATCACAGTTGTCACAGACTCATAGAATGGTTTGGGTTGGAAGGGACCTTAAAGCTCATCCAGTTCCAAGCCCTGCCATAGGCAGGGACACCTTCCACTAGAGCAGCTTGCTCCAAGCCTCATCCAACCTGACCTTGGACACTGCCAGGGATGGAGCACCCTAAGCAGGAGCAGTCACAGCCT